ATTTCTTTTTTGGTATATCCCTTCTTCCAGGACAGCATCCATTCTCTAAACCCCTGCACGAGGCTACGCTAAGTGGGGTGATAAGCAGAGGTGACAGAGTCTGTTTTTCCTACACAGAGCTTTGGCCACTCCTCAGTTCTGTCCATCTACTGAGACTCCTGGATAGCTCTATCCTTTGATGAGACATACCCATTGACCTTATGGACTCTGGGCTTTCCCCTCTACCCCAGCCCTCAGCAGTCCTATTAGGTAGGACCACTGTGCAATAGCTTCAAGGAGCCATTCCTCAGAGGATGAAGGAAAGGCTGAATTCAGGAGGTGATGGTGTGGTGAGATGTAGTCCATGAACAATGAACCAAAAGATGGGCTGTGTGGAAGTCTTGTGTTACTGCCAGCAGAAAGGGGGCCAAGCATAGCGTGTTGGCTCACTTGTCTGCTCATTAGCCAGCAGTTCTGCTTTGCTACCAGCCCTCATTTCTGTCATCACACATGAGTGCTGAGGACCACAAAAGTATGGCCAGCTTCTGCTACCACCACTCTTCACACAACAGAGGACTCCGCTGGCCCCAAATCCATTACAGCATTTCCTGGCAGGACAAAAGATTCTTACCACTGGCCAGCCATCAAGGGCCTGCCAGGAAGCCGAGGCATCTCTCTGCCTCCAGCAGCCCTAGTTTGCAGGCAGATGCCAGAAACCAAAGCAAGCAGCTCTGGCCTACACAGAGGAACTTTGTTCTGGGTCATTCAGAGAATGACAGGTAGTTCCCAGGCTTTTTGGATTTAATGGACCTAGTAGCTTTTCAGAAAAGATTTCGGTGACCTATACAAAGTTGCCAACCCCTTCACAGTAAAGACATGTACTGGCTTTCTATTGAGCAGTCATAGTTGTCATCTTACCTTACAAGGCTCTGTGCCAGGTACCCATTCAGAGGGACCATTTGATTGTCACGACATCAGTGCTCAGTATTAACGTCTTGTTACAGGTGATGAGAGAGGCTCAGAGGAGGTAATCAATGACCTCATGGTAGACATGAGTAAGAGAACACTTAACCAATTCTACCACCCTTTCCTGTCATGTTCCCCTTGCTGCCCAGTGATGACCTGGTAGGTGGCTAATTGAGAAGTTCAAGGAACACGATGGCTAAGTGTTTACTTCCAAGCAGGACACTTGAGAGTGGGGCTGAGGATCTGCTGAAGAAGAGGTTTTCCCCAAGAGCAAAAAGGAAATTAAATGCCAGTTAAATGCTGAGTTATAGTGATCAAGCTAGTAACAGTCAGTCCTGGCTAAGTGTGTGTTTGCTTTTTGCTGAATCATGTGCCTTGCAATAAAAACGTGCTTATGATTATTAACTGATAAGTGCTTGTTTCTTTCCCTAACAATGAAGAGTTTATGAGAAAATTTCATTGCTTACAATACTTCTTTATAACATAGGTGTCTGACAGCTTGCCTGGACTTGAATCTTGTTCCACTATTTCCTAGCTATGTGATTTCTGGGAAAATTATTTCAAAACCTTGTGCCTCTGTTTCTTCATCTATGTAATGGAGAATAGTGCCTGCTTCCTAGGGTTGTGTGAGAATTGAGTTAACATACAGATAACTGGAGCAAACTATTGTGTTTACATAGTTCCATCAAGCTAACTGTCACTAGGAGCCAGCTACCTCTGAAATTACCAGCATGAAGAGAATCCTGGGGAACAGTAGCTGTTAAGTCTCCATGTTCAGAAGCATCCAGAATACGATGGAAGTAACAGATGTCCGGCCTCATTACCAGAGACTCTCACTGTGTGGAGTGTAGGGGAGAAGCCTGGGAATTTGTTTCTTTACTACGACACTGGTTGATTAAGATTCAGAGCAGCCATTGAGAAATACTAAGCCAAAGACATCTCTTTTGTTGTCAAGGCTACTGCAGGGAATGTGTTTGCGTACTCATTGCAAGTCTGTCACACTTTCTCATTTAGAGTACGATACTTAAATGTAACTAATATTGGCTTTTCTCTGCACATGACTAACTGATAGTAAAACCCTTGCCCCCACATGACTCTACCAAGATCCCTACCGCCATGGGCCAACTGCCCTGAGATGAGGGGCATAATGAGTATGCAAGGTGAGTAAGTGTGTAAATGTGCTTTTAAAAAATATCTGGGGCCCAGCATGGTAGCCTAGTGGCTAAAAGTCCTCACCTTGCATGCGCCACGATCCCATATGGGCACAGGTTCTAATCCCAGCAGCCCCACTTCCCATCCAGCTCCCTGCTTGTGGGCAGAGAAAGCAGTTGAGGATGGCCCAAAGCCTTGGGACTCTGCGCCCACATAGGAGACCCAGAGGAAGCTCCTGGCTCCTGGCTTGGGATCAGCTCAGCTTCAGCTGTTGCAGTGCTTGGGGAGTGAGTCACTGGATGAAGGTCTTCCTCTTTCTCCTCCTGTCTGTATGTCTGATTTTCCAATAAAAAAATAAATCTTTAAAAAATAAAATAAAAAATATATGAAAGACAAGTGTTTTACCTAACAGTTCAGATACTTGTAATTATGCCTGTAGCCCATATCAGATGCCTAGCTTTGAGCTTCAGCTCTGGCTCCTGGCCCCAATTCCCTGCTAATGCAGATTCGTTGGGTGGCAGCCGTGACGGTCCAAGTAACTGAGTGCCTGCCATGCCTGTGGGAGAGCTGGATGGAGTTCCTGGCTCCCTCCATTTCTCCCTAGATTGGGTCATTGAAAGTGAGGATGAATTTCCCAGTGATCGCTCAGGTGATGGCTGGGCTATGTGAACTGAGCTGAGAAGATATGGGGACAGATTAAGAAAGCACACTGCAGAGAAACAGAACGGTGATTGGGCCCCATCGCCTGTTCGGCCAGAAGTTGGAGGTTAGCTGTGCGAAATGATTCAGAGGTCTTGTTTGTCGGCTGTGGGAGACTGTTCTAGAAAGGAAGGGCTCTGGAGAAGGGGACAAAGCTGAAGAGGTGCTGGGATCATGAGGATAAACAGAAGTTCCACCTGGAGCTCATATAGCATTGGGATAATATATTCAATTCCATTATACACAGCTTGTAATTTGGCATTCATGGCAAATTATTCTAAATCAAAATGCCTCAGCTTTATGAATGTAACTACTTTTCTTAACTATTCATGTTAAAGTCAACCAAAGTGAAGTTTTCAGACATAGTCACTCTTCAACAAGACATTTAAGTGAGCAGGTATTTTTGTTGACATTTTAGCTCCATTCTTTCTGCTACTCAAAAGCTTTGTGTGTTCACACATTAGTTTTGTTTTCTTTAGACAGTTATGTCAAGGAGTTTAAGGAATTCTGGTTGCTAAATTATCCTAAGATATTTTGACATGTCACTTTTTCTATAACATATATTTAGAGTATTTGAAAATTCTAAAGATAAGCACAGTCATCTTCAGTTCCACTACGCAGCATTAACTACAATTAGATCATCACCTGCTAGTCCCTTTCTAAACACAAACTGGTAACATAACCTCATATTCCATTTTCCCCCTTAGCATGTTGGCATTAACATATTTCCATATTCGTCAGAAGCATTTTCCTGACTGCATATTACTCCATTTTACATCTTCCAACTTTCTGTGGTTTAACAAAAGCATCTGCAGGGCTCCAGATCCATCTCTGTGAAATTGCCCTCTGGAAGGCTGCTTGCTTGCAGTGCATAGGCAGAACGTAGACAGCTGTTTCTCCCCACCTCCTCCCAGAGGGAAGCTTGACGTCAGAACACTCACTAATAACAATAGAGGGTGTCTGGCTGTTTTACTCACTTTCCTTTCACTATAACAAAGGCTTGGCACTTTCCTTCACTGTGATTGACCTTAACATATTTTGTAGCACATTTATTTAAGACAAAGCAACCATGATCATCCACTATTCACTACATCGGCATCTTCGTAGCTGAATTAATCCTCAGCTTCCTAGAGTCCATTGAGGAAGTCTTTTCATGAGCTGTTGATGCTGATAGTAAAGATACCAGGCTTTGGTGGATGGCCAGTTCTGAGCCCTGCGGTTCAGTCTTGTGTAACCCTCAAGAAGTTACTTAATCTCTATAGCTCCCAGTTTCCTTTACTGTCAAACAGCTCTGCTTGTCCTCAGAATAATTCTGCACGAGACAAGAATTACTCAGCCTTGGGTAGATAAGAAGTAGATAATACTGCAAAGTGAGAAGTGTGTTCTCTCTAGCTGCAAAACAGATCAGCAGATATTCCAAGGGATGACAGCATAGCATACTCAGAAGCCAGAACTTTGCAAGTCCCAACAGGTGACTGAATATTCTCACCTCGTTGTATTGCTTTTACCTGGGAGAAGATTAGCACAGATGATGGTGCTTGTCTTCTTGGCTGTGGGTAGTGAATTTGGCTGAGTGATGCCTCGTGCTCCTGACTCCAGATCAGCCTCACTCTTGCAGGACACAGCACTGCATACTCTTCTGGCACTTGGTTCTGTTTAAAGGAGAAGCGTTTCAATTGATTAAATAAAAATGAGTTTACTTAGGCAAAACAAAAACTGACTGATGAATTGGGCATGACCAGGTTCTGAGAATGTCACTCAACAGCATGATCAGACAGAATTTGTGGGTAAAATTGAAGTGCAGCATAGGGGACAGCTGGCTACAGCTTCGTCAACCAGTGTACTAGTTACAGCTTCAAGTGTTTGAAGTATAATGAGTTAATTGAATACAAGGCCTTCTGGAATCAGCCCCAGTTCAGCAACTGCAATTAAACTATCGCTTAGGTTTGTAGGACCCACTGCGGGTTACTCAGTTCAAATGTATGGTCTCATACAAATTTTATTTAATGGCAGTTTAGCAAGTTGCCCCAGAAGTGATGGAATGCATCCCGAGGTCATTACAAGGAATGACCTTAATGGTCATTCCTTGGAATTAACGTCATTCACCTGTTTTCAGGGGTTTATAATGTGAACGACCAGGTTGAGAGCCAGACTGGAGACGCCCTGACATCACCCTCCGTACTACTTTCTGTTTCTCGTTCTAGTACTTTTCCAGCTGACATCCCCGGGGGTGAGTGCTGTTTCCACTAGCAGTTGCAACTGAAAAGCACGGTTGAGAGATGTCGGAGATCCTTCATGAGTTGCTCCGTGTCTCCGAGAAGGCAGCCAACATCGCCCGGGCATGCAGGCAGCAGGAAGCCCTGTTTCAGCTGCTGATCGAGGAAAAGAAAGAGGGCGAGAGGAACAAGAAGTTCACTGTGGACTTCAAGACCCTCGCTGATGTACTGGTACAGGAAGTTATCAAGCAGAATATGGAGAACAAGGTAAAAAAGGTCACAGCCTAGGTATTTGCCAAATATTTGCCTCTGTGATTTTCCGTCCCTCCTTGTCTAGCATTGGTGCCCTGTATTCCACGATCATCTTCAGACTGCTAGCACCCTGAGTTCAAATAAACACCACAGGCTTTTTCTTTTCTTTCCTTCTTTTGTTTAGATTACAGCAACAAAAAAAATATTTTCTTGCAACAAATCTATGCAGCAAAGAAAAGCAAATAAGCAAATACAAATTACTTGCCATTTTAATAGCTAAAGAATCTGTTATAAGAGCTTTTATTTACTAATATTTTTTCCTAATAAATAATACATGCTCCCTGGAAAACTAAAAAACAAATGAAGAACCCATTTTACCCCATCACTAGAGCAAGTCACTAAATGTTGTTAGACCATTTGTCTTCTCTGTGTATATATGCATGACCCATAAAATTTATCGCAAATTTATCTCAATAGAACTGAGGACACTCTGCTTTTAAGTATGTGTGTATGTGTTTGTGTGTGTGTGTGTGTGTGTGTATGTGTGTGTTTAAGCTTTGATACATTAAGTATCACCTTTGGATTGGACCGTTTAATGTTTGCCTCAATGATGAGCTTGTATCTGGATACTTAAAGTTTCTTTTTATTCTCATGGGAAAATGTTTGTACTTAATTGTGACTGTAATTCTAGGCCTCTTGCTTGAATTGACTGGAAGAAACAAACTCTTCCTTAATAGCAGTAACAATAATAGTAGACACTTTCAAAGATTTACTGTGTGCTAGATAGGCTCTAAGGGTTTAAATATATTATGTAGCCTTTATGACAACTGTGTGGTAAGAACTATTATTCCAAAGTAATGAGTGAAAGAAAAGGGGAACAAAGATTCAGTGACATCCTAAAATTACACAGCAAGTAGATGACAAAGCCAGTTTTTAGCGCATGCAGACTGCCTCAGAGTCTGTGTTCTTTACAATATTACATTGTTTCTTATATTTATAAATTATATTTGCTTTGGGAGATAGAACTCTGACGCACTATAAAGTACTAGAATTGTTTAAATCTTCAAGATAATGAGTATCATTTAGAATCATTTAAGCAACATTTTGACAATAGGCAGGAGAAAAAAGCAATTTAATGAAATTTCTACAAACTATATTTTTCATGCCCTATGATATCTGGCTGCAGTAAGCCAAGTGAAGTAACCTTATTTTTGTTTGTTACTAATCAAGATAGTTGGGTGCAAGGAGTGATTAACTGGATTAGATGTGTAGATTTTTTTTTTACAGGCTAATTAATATTTGCCCCAAAGCATTCAAGCAAATTCAGGCAATTATTCATTCATGACGTAAATACCAGGGCTTATGAACAAATACTATTCCATTTGAGATATAAAATATTTGTATGACCCTTCTGTCCCATAGCCTCAGAAATCAAGCTTCAAGCTGTGGTGAATGGGCTGGTTGCCAGCTCTTTTTGGCTTGTAGTATCCAGCAAGCAGGTGGCGGGTGGGGGGGGGGCGGCGAAAATAAATGCTTGTAAGGCACTGTTGAAAGTACTTGGGAGCCATTATTATGGCACATCTGGTTAAGCTGCTGCCTGCGATGCTGACATCCTTTTCCAGAGTGTTGGCTCAAGTCCCAGGTGCTTCCCTTCCAACCTAGCTTCCTGCTCATGAACCTTGGAGAGCAGTGGGAGATGGTTTCAGTACCTCACCCTTGTAACTAATTTGGGAGACCAGCATGGAGTCCCTCACAACCGACCCACACCTGGCTGTTGTAGCGCCATCTGGGAAGTGAAGCAGGAGATAGAAGAGACAGTGAGACATACAGAGAGAGTGTATGTGTGTCTCTCTCTCCCCCACCCTTTCCACCTTCTCACTTTACCTTTTGAATAAATAAATAAATAAATGTGTTTTTGTAAAAAATAAAACTACCGGCCATCCACAAATGACTGAATTCAAGAATTTGAAGCATTTCCTTGTTTTTGTTCCCAGAGAACATCTTGTATGTATCACAACTAGTCGGGCACGTATTTTGAGAAAAATTCTCTCCACCAAGGACCACAATCAAAATGAATCAAAAAGCTTCCCAGTCATACACAGAAAAAGGACTCTTTGTAGACTTTATTCACTCTGTACTGATGCAGAACTTATTGGTCAATAAAATTTCCCTTTTCCTTAATCACCTTCCCAGTCTAAAAGCTAATGATCCCTCCAACAGGGGCAGCCACACACAGAAAAATGAAAATAAAATCTAATGTTGCCTTCTAATTTCTAACCATCCAGTGTCAACTACTGCTGTTAGGAATTTGGTCAATACTTTTTAGGAACAATGGTTAACATTTCTCCTTGACAACCCTTCTAGTTCTATGACTCTTATAGCGAAGGGGGAGTTTCTAGAAGCACTTCTGCAAATGAAACAAGATGACTGAATCTCTACCTGGGTTGGGAGTCTCTGGAGAGGCAAAGGAGCAGCAAAGTATTAGAAAACTAAGCTGACTTCATTTTGTAAATACTTGGATTGGGATAAAGGATTGGAAATTTTGAATTTCAACTCTGATTATACTATTTCATTTGAAATATAAAATGGAAATCTGTTCAGAATTTACATGTTTGGATTTTTGTTGTTTTGCTCTTTTGTCAATTCTGAATCATCTAGTTTCCAGGATTGGAAAAAAATATTTTTGGAGAAGAATCCAACGAGTTTACTAATGATTTGGGTAAGTGTAAGAATGTTGATGTTGATGTGTTTTTGTAACTTACTAGCATGTAGTATTCTAGCAGCCAACTTACCATACTTTGAGTTAAATGAATGTTTGAAAGCAACATAATATACTTGAATGTTAGGTTTCATTCCATCTCTGCCTCAGAATATTGTGTCATTTATCTTAGGATAATTTAGCATTTATGTAACTTACAATTAACCCTTGGGAAAGTTGGAAATCTAATGGAAGTAATCCATGCCCCAGGGACATACATACGTTCCCTTAAAGAGTCCATGAGCCTTGCTAAGACTTTATAGGATGCATTGGCTCTGAAACACGTAAGTGAATTTCCTCGTAACGTCTCGGGGTCTCATGTCTCAAAGGTTCCCTTTGGGATCATATTTTAAGTCCCATTTACTTGGTATCCCGTGAGTTTGATTCTGCTTTGATGGATTTCCATATTCTGCTGCTGTGAGTATCGAGGAAAATATCCCAATCTCTAATTGCAGGGAAATATTTTTCAGTTTGCTGGACTCGTTTAATGGTTTAAGAAGTTAAAATGGTGAACTTTAACATCTTTCATGTGACAACTCATTAAATACCTACAAAAATATTTTCTAAGAAAAAAAAATCTCTGGATTTACTCTAAAAATGTTTTCACCCTCATGCGCTGTGTATTCAGACGCACTTAGCAGTTGGTAAGAAAGAATTAGAGAAGATCTCATTTAAACGTATCACTTGTAAAAATAACTTCTGTTGCATTTCAAATCCTCTGTTTTGCTATTTCCTAGTTATTTTAACACTTGATTTAGCTAGAATTACAGGGACAACAAGGCAGGGTACATCCATTCTCCTGCTTGTTGAGAAGTGTGTGGAGGGACAGTGGTGGGATTATGGGTGAGGGTGTGAGCACAGGGACCAATCACAGGAAGGGGTGGGCATGACCTGGTAAGTGCAGTGGCATGCACTGGTTGTTTTGAAAGGATGGAAGTGACATAATATTCTCCTGTGAACAATCCAGAAGCATTCCAGAAACCAAACTAGGTGCTCAGCAAACAGCAATCATTAGCATTACAATTTCCCAGTTTAATTCAAATTTAGCTTTGATGAAATTTGAGTGGACATTTCCTACTACTTAAAAAGTCACCTTCATGGTTTCTGCTAATTACAAGTCACCTTCATAGCAGTTTCAGACTTACTGTGCTGTCCAAACTTTACTTCCCCCACCCCTCCTTGGGATTTTATTAATATTCAGCAGGTCTGGGTGGGGCCCAGGGCTCAGAATTTCTCACAAGTTCCCAGAAGGCAGAGGTGCTGGGCCTTGGAACCCAGAGTAGTTAGGGGTATTTGACAATATGTGAAACAGCCCCAAAGTGCATTGTTTCCTTAGTTTTTAAGATATTTTTCTGTGTTTCTTTTTCCATTGCTGTCACATCCTGCTGCAATTAACTTGCTTGGTTTTACAGCCTTTTCCCTCACTTCTGTTCAGGGTGGAAGCAGCAAGTGCAAACTGCTGGGGAAGCACCTGGCCTGGGTGGCTTCTGCCTTCATATGGGAAGCAGCTTTGCTCGCACTGCTTACAGATTCATCTGCTTTGTCTTCTGTGATTTAGCACAATATGACATCAAAAGCAGTGTCATGGAAGGAAACAGGAGCACAGTGAACTGATAAAACCTGCATTTCAGTAACATTTACACCTGGAACAGAGCTAAAAGGCCAAAAGCATATAGATTATCAGGGGGTTCATGAGTTTTTTACTTGTCTATGAGTTCCTTTCAGTTGCATTCAAATTTATGTCCTTGAAGATGTGGGGAGATAGTGCTTTGATTCCTAAACCCATCCCAAACTATTCAGATCAAGGTAACAAGCGACACCAGTGACTTGCTGAAGCCCTCAGGCGATTCTGGCAGTTGGCAGGAAAATATGGCTCTATGATGTGCCTCAAACCCAGGGATACAGTCTTCACTACCCCACCCTTGCCAAGATATTTCCTCCGTGGAAACTATGGAAATATAATAGCTCTTAGTTTGTCTTTGCTCTAGGGGAAAAGATTATCGTGAGGCTGTGTTCCACCAAGGAAGAGACGGCAGAGCTGCTTAGCAAGGTGCTGAATGGTAACCGCCTGGCATCTGAAGCATTAGCCAAAGTTGTTCATCAGGATGTGGCCTTTTCTGATCCAACTCTGGATTCAACAGAAATCAGCATTCCACAGGACACTTTGGGGATCTGGGTAGATCCCATAGGTAATTACAGGAGGGCTTCAAGTGTTTGTTCTTATTGCATTTTGAGGGTGTGGAGAGTCGGGAGCTTGAAAAAATGCAAACAGAATATAGTTTAATTTCCCCAGAAGTTAGGAAAAACTGTTTAAAAATTTATTTGAAGAGTTCCAGAGTTCCAGAGAGAGAAATCTTTCACCCATTAGCTCACTCCCCAAATATTACTAATGACTACATCTGGGCCAACCCATAGCCAGGAGCCAGGAGACCCAGATGAGTATTATGAAAAAAACAGCAGGCATTTCAATGTTTTTTGCACAAAAATGCACTTACTGCTTAATATCCTATAAAGTTAAAACCCCATTCTTCGGCACCACTTATATTTCTCCTTTTGTACCATTATCTCTTCTAACTTGAGGGACTTAATAATATAATAATAAAAACTAATTCCTGGAAGGAAACTTTTCCATCTGATCTTGTACTGGTCTTCTGACTGGAACAGTTTCAAAATTTAGTTACTAGTCCCCAAATGGAATTGATGTGTGATAAGTGGTACTTATGTGCTAAATGCTATGGACACATTCTCTCCATTTAAGAGTTTTCATACTGTCAAGAAAATCCAAAACATCCACAGCAAAAAAGTGATGTTCAAAAACTCAACTAGTAAGTGACATCTAAAGTAACACCTGATTGATAACCAAATTATCGGAAGAGGGAAATGATAACGGGACAAGGGTTATCGATGTATTCATCACAATCTTCTGAATCTTCATCTGAATTCCAATATATTTGCTTCATTTTTCAGATTCCACTTATCAGTATATTAAAGGTTCTACTGACATCCAACCCAATCAAGGCATCTTTCCCTCTGGCCTTCAATGCGTCACTATTTTAATCGGTGTCTATGACAAACAGACAGGGGTGCCTGTGATGGGAGTCATCAACCAGCCTTTTGTGTCCCAAGACCCAAATACTCTCAGGTAAAATACAAACAGTTACATATTATGGTTTTTTAGAATTCATGACCTCGGCTTGGCTTATTTTCAGGTTTAGCCTTCTAAGTGACATTCTTATGACTTGAGTTAGTTACTCTGGGATGCTTTTACTAAACGTCTGTATGTTGGAACTAAAATTCTTTCTATTTCCAGTCCTGGATTTGGTATCATTTCATTCAGGATATCATGAGTTTGTATTGGGGATACAGCAAGCCTAATATCTAAAACCATCTAAAACTCTGGTCCTAAAATCCATTCACATCCAGATTAATGCAATAGTGGTGACACTGCCCTGTAAATTATTTGAAATAAGATAACCATCATCATTTACTTGTGTAAGTGATGTTTCAAAATGTTTATGAAAATTTGGTGTAAAAAAGTGTAAAATTCACATATACCATGAGGTCTCCAAAGTTCATGAAAAATATGTCTTCTGAAAAAACTATATAGACTTCAACTTTTTGGCACAAAAGTAAATTCCATTTATCCTTGAACTTTTAAAAAAACAACTTATTTATTTGAAAGGCTCCATTACAGAGAATGCATGAGAGAGAGAATCTTCCATTCACTGATTCCCTTTCCAAGTGGCCACAAAGGAGAGGGCTGGCTGGGCTAGGCAGAAGCCGGAGCTTCACTCAGGTCTCTCACGTGGATGCAGGGGCCCGAGAACTTGGGACATCTTGCTCTGCTTTCCCAGGAGTATTAGCAGGGGGTTGGATGGGAAATGAAACAGCTAGAACAGGAACCAGGATCCATAAGGAATCGTGACCTTGTAGGCAGCAGCTTAACCCCCTAAGCTCCAATCCATAAACTTTTTTAAAAAATTTATTTATTTTTATTGCAAAGTCAGATATACACAGAGGAGGAGAGACAGAGAGGAAGATCTTCCATCCAGTGATTCACTCCCCAAGTGACCACAACAGCCAGTGCTGAGATGATCCGAAGCCAGGAGCCAGGAGGTTCCTTCAGGTCTCCCACGTGGGTAGAGGGTCCCAACGCTTTGGGCCGTCCTCCACTGCTTTCCCAGGCCACAGGCAGGGAGCTGGATGGGAAGTGGAGCTGCTGGGATTAGAACCTATGCCCATATGGGATCCCAGTGCGTTCAAGGCAAGGACTTTAGTGCTAATCCATGGTGCTGGGCCCTCAATCCATGAACTTTTTGAAGCTCCGTTGTACATATAGCTAACTGAAGTGTGCAATTTTAGCAGGAATTCAAGACAGAGTTTATATTATCCAGTGAAAAGATGAGAAGGGGTGGCCAAGATTAGCACCTACTTATGGGATGTCTCGCCTCCTAAGTGCGGTCAGCACACACTCCTCTTCTGCCTCCCCCGTCCCCATTCTCTCTTTGGACTCCTGCAGAGTCTAGAGGATGCTCGGTGTGCTCTTGACTTTGATCCATGGCCTGTGCTTTGGCCTTGACTCTAGGACATGGCAGAGGCCAAGTAGGAGAAACAACTTCAAATTTCTTTTTAAGTTTAATTTATTTCTGTTGAAAGACAGATTTACATTTACAGAGAAAAATATTCCATCTGCTAGTTCACTTCCCAAGTGGGGGCAATGGCTTGGGGCTTATCAGAAGCCAGGAGCTTCCTCTGGATGTCCCACGCAGGTGCAGGGTTTGAAGGCTTTGGGCCGTCCTCGACTGTTTCCCAGGCCACAAACAGAGAGCTGGATAGGAAGGGGTGCAGCTGGGACATGAACCAGTGCCCATACGGGATCCTGGTGCATTTAGCCATTAGGCCATTGCACCAGGACCCACAACTTCAGTTTTTTAAAAAATTTTAAATAAGTTCTATTTCCCACTTATTTTGGGGTTAAACACCTTATTGTCTCAGCAATCATTTTCAGTTCTTGAATAGTCATGAATAGTCACCTCTGCAAAGCTGATAACTTTTCCTATTCCTGCCCAACCAAGAATATGTTTCTGGCATTTGATAATTAGAAAATGTGCAGACAGAATCATGTCCCAGAAACAGATGTGGTAAACACAATAGTTATTGTCCCAGATTCTTGTAGGAGACTGCTTGGGTTTGAAAGCAGATTCTACCACCACTGATTAGCAAGATTGGCTTAGGCAAGTTACTTACTTTGACTAAATTGCCATTTCTTCATCTGTTAATAGCAACCTGGCATAGGTCACAAGGTAAGCATTGATAAATGGAATGTGCAACAAAAATATCACCAGCTCATCTGTCTTGGTGTTAAAAATCAAAATAATGAATAACAAAATGCAAAAGTGACCAATTAATAAAAGCTTTTTTATATATAAGGAATGTAAAGATCAGTAGTTGGGAGAAATATTATTTACCTGCTTATCTTTTTTCCTGTTAAAATTTAAATGTCAAAAGTGGATGAGGGGTCTAGAGCACTGGCCTAGTGGCTAAACTCTTCACCTTGAACATGCCAGGGATCCCATATGGGTGCCAGTTCTAATCCCAGCAGCCCCACTTCCCATCCACCTCCCTGCTTGTGGCCTGGGAAAGCAGTTGAGGATAGCCCAAAGCGTTGGGACCCTGCACCCGTGTGGGAGACCTGGAAGAGCTCCTGGCTTTGGATCAGCTCAGCACCGGCCATTGCGCTCACTTGGGGAGTGAATCATTGGACAGAAGATCTTCCTCTCTGTCCTCCTCTCTGTATATCTGCCTTTCCAATAAAAATAAATAAATCTTATAAAAAAAGCAGATGTGACATTTTGCCATATTTCTAGAGGATGGAAATCCTGCAGATATACATATATATATTAATATTTATTTATTTTATTACAAAGTCAGATATACAGAGAAGAGGAGAGACAGAGAGGATGATCTTCTTTCCAATGATTCACTCCCCAAGTGAGCGCAACGGCCAGTGCTGTGCTGATCCGAAGCTGGGAACCAGGAACCTCTTCCGGGTATCCCACACGGGTGCAGGGTCCCAAAGCTTCGGACCGTCCTTGACTGCTTTCCCGGGCCACAAGCAGGGAGCTGGGTGTGAAGTGGGGCTGCCAGGACTAGAACCGGCACCTATATGGAATCCCAGCACGTTCAAGGCGAGCACTTTAGCCGCTAGGCCATGCCGCTGGGCCCAAATCCCGCAGATATTTGAATGTCTGTGACTGATTCCATAATGCAGTGACATTGAGAGCATTCTAGTCATACTGCAACACACAGGCAGCTGTGGGCCTGTGAGTAACTTTGAGGAATGAACGAGCTACTCAATCTGTTTCCAGACTTTGGAGCATGAAAACTCATGACCTCATACTGAATGCTTTTTTCATGTCATTGTTTGAAAGCAGCAGGTGTAATACAAAGTGAATGTGATAATCACCTCCACTGACTGAACTGATTGTCTTCCACAGGTGGAAAGGACGGTGCCACTGGGGCCTTTCTTATATGGGGACCAACATCCATTCCCTCCAGCCTGACATCTCTAAAGGAAACAGCCAGGACACACAGGAGGACAGCAGCAGCTCCGAGGCGGGCATCTCCCGCCCCTTCTCAGCCATCATCAGCACCAGTGAGAAGGAGAGCGTCAAGGCAGCACTGGCCCGCGTGTGTGGGAGCAGCATCTTCCGAGCCGCCGGAGCGGGTTACAAGAGCCTGTGTGTCGTCCAAGGCCTGGCTGACGTTTACATCTTCTCAGAGGACACCACGTTCAAGTGGGACTCCTGTGCGGCCCATGCCATACTGAGGGCCATGGGCGGAGGAATGGTAGACTTGAAAGAATGCCTAGAAAGAAATCCAGAAACAGGGCTAGATTTGCCACAACTGCTGTACCACATGGAAAATGAAGGTGCCACTGGGGTGGATCGCTGGGCCAACCGGGGAGGACTGATCGCGTACAGATGCAGGAAGCGACTGGAGGCTTTCCTCAGCCTCCTCGTCCCTAACCTGAAGACACAGATGTAGCCGGATGCTGACCTCAGCATCCACTGCATCTTGAATTGGGAAGCCGGTGCCTGCATCTCCATCTCTTTAAGACAACTCTGCCCTATTGCTCGTTGACATCACCTCTCTCAAGGAGCATTTTCCCGTTTTATGTTCATATAAATTTAATTTCAATAAATGACTTTCTGGCAGCAATATCTAAAGCCGTGTGACATTTCTATAGTGACTATTGTGCTTTTATTGTTGCCTAAAACACTTAAATAAAAAATTAAAAGGGGGCCTGGCGGCGTGGCCTAGCGGCTAAAGTCCTCGCCTTGAACGCGCCAGGATCCCATATGGGCACCGGTTCTAATCCCAGCAGCTCCGCTTCCCATCCAGCTCCCTGCTTGTGGCCTGGGAAAGCAGTCGAGGATGGACCAAAGCTTTGGGACCCTGCACCCATGTGGGAGACCTGGAAGAAGTTCCTGGATCCTGGCTTTGGACTGGCATAGCATTGGCCGTAGTAGTCACTTGGGGAGTGAATCATCGGATGGAAAATCTTCCTCTCTGTCTCTCCTCCTCTCTGTATATCTGACTTTCCAATAAAAATAAATAAATCTTTTAAAAAAATTTAAAAGGGAAGAAAATTCTGTTCAATGAGCACAAGTCTAGACCTTTTTATGTGTTAAGAGAAACAGGATTTTGTTTTATGACTTAAAGGGTAAATATGCACCTCTGGCTGGTGCAGGAGATTGAGTACTGTGAGTCTGCATTATTCAATGCCAAATTCATACTTTCAACAATAGTCTTCTTGTGTTTGTTTGGAAGTTAGAGTTACAGAGAAAGAGAGGGAGAGATCTCCATCTACTGGTTCACCCCGCAAAAGGTCACAATAACTGGCAATTCTGGTGGGTCTCCCCCATGGGTGCAGGGACCAAAGCATCTTGGCTATCTCCCACGGCTTTCCCAGACCATTAGTAGGGAGCTGGCATACTATATGGTGGCAGCTTTATGTGCAATGCCACAGTGCCAAGCCCAGCTGTCTTGTTTCCTAAAGGAAATTCAGTCTGGAGCATCGTGGGCTCCCTCTCCTCTCTGCAGAGAGAAAAACACACCAGGAGGAGAGAGGACAAGGTGAGAGACAGACACCCCATCTCTGCAGCTGAGGCAGCAGGAGATAAAGAGCTCTCTACAGTTCTGTATTTGCTGTACTTGACCAAATACAGATAGGTTTTGCATATATCAGAGCACCTCAAGTTTGTGGAAAGGGGGTTCAGAAGCTGTTTTGGTACAAATCCTTGAGAAACCTGCATTTGTTTTAATTACATGCATTTCCATGTTGATGTGTCCTTGTGTCTGGCATTTGTGTACACCAGCCTCCCATAAAATTTTCTGTGTAGGCCCTGGTCACTAGGTAGTGCCAACTGGACCAAACCTTCAGCTCTTACTTCTTTCCATCTTGCGCCCTCTAGGGGCCAAATGATGTTCCCACAGTATCCTGTATTTCTCTATAATTATCAACAAAGGAACTTTAATTTCTTATATTCTTAAATTTAAAGAAAATCAAAACTGCATATGATGTACTCCACGATATTTTAAAATCCGTATACGTGCTGTAATGGCTAACACAAGCTAATTTACAGAAGTGTTATTCCACCTGTTGTAAAAGCACTTAAAAACCCTTGGCAGTGGGCCTGGCACGGTGGCCTAGCAGTTAAAGTTCTTGCCTTGAACATGCCGTGATCCCATATGGGCACAGGTTCTAATCCTGGCAGCTCCACTTTCCATCTAGCTCCCTGCTTGTGGCCTGGGGAAAGCAGTTGAGGATGGCCCAAAGCTTTGGGACCCTGCACTAGTGTGGGAGACCTGGAGGAAGTTACTGGCTCCTGGCTCCTGGCCCCAGATCAGCACAGCACAGGCTGTTGTGGTCACTTGGGGAGTGAATCATCGGATGGAAGATCTTCCTCTCTGTCTCTCTTCCTCTCTGTATATCTGACTTTGCAATAAAAATAAACAATTCTTAAAAAAAAAAAAAAAACCTTAGCAGTACCATACATAGTCATTAACTATAGTCTACATGAGGTAAAATAGGTCTCTTTAAGAAGACATTTATTTATTTGAAAGGAAGCGTGTCACAGGGAAAGAAATGCATCTATGGGTTCACTTCCCAAATGCCTGCAGCAGCTGAGGCTGGGCCGGGCTGAAGCCAGGAACTCCATGCACGTCTCCACACGGGTGACAGGCACCCAAGTCCTTGGGCCACATGCTGCTCCACGGGAGCATTGGCAGGGAGCTGGACCGGACACAGCAGCTGGCTCTCATGACTTCCTGTACACCTGCCTGAGTGGACCTCCCAAACGTACTCCTCCTAACTGAAGCTGTGGTTTTTGACCAGCATCTCTTCTCACCACACCAGTCATTGGAGCTGTCATTCTACTCTCTGATTCTAGGAGTTTCTTAGATTTTCATGGAAGTGAGATCATGCAGTATTGCTTTTCTGTATCTGACTTATTTCACTTAACATAATATCCTTTGGATGAATCCATGTTTTTGCAAGCAAAAAACTTTTCTCTTTTGAAGGACAGCACCCATCTATGCATACACAGAGAGATACAAACGCACATCACGTGTATCTGTAAGTACATTTTCTTCACCTGTCCATTTATATACACCTTGGCTATTATGAATATTGCTAAAATAATGTGGGATTGCAGATGTCTCTACAATATCCTGATAGTCTTTTCTCAGTCAAGCTCTAACAGTACTTTGTTTGCATACAACAGATTCAGTGACTTATGACAGAGTTATATTTTTAAAAGTACATTGTGCTTTGTGATTGTGACTGCTTCATTGTATATTTTTATCAAAGTCTATTTTAAATATTGATTTTAAGTCAAAGTGAGTTCACAGAACACATTAGAAGTGAAAACCCAGGCCCGGCACAGTAGCTTAGCGGCTAAAAGTCCTCCCCTTACAAGCACCGTCTCTAATCCCAGCTGCTCTGCTTCCCATCCAGCTCCCTGCTTGTGGCCTGGGAAAGCAGTCAAGGACGGCCCAAAGCCTTGGGACCCAGCACCCGCGTCGAAGACCTGGACGAGGCTCTGCTATCATGGCTTCGGGTCAGCACGGCTCCAGCCACTGCAGCCACTTAGGGAGTGAATCAAGATCTTCTTCTCTGTCTCTCCTCCTCTGTGTACATTTTTCCAATAAAAACAAAATGAACAAAAAAAGAAATGAAAATCCTGGAGTCTTTCTCCCACAGTCAACTGACAAAGTAAATAGCACATGGTACAAGAAAAAGCATTGGTTGTCAATATGAACAATTTTGGAATTTGTGGATTATCAATAACATGCTGTAAGAATATTCATCTTCAATGTGATTGAAACCAACAGTTTCTCAAGGGGGAAACAAACTGGACAGAAGAAGTGCTTAGAATTCATATATTAAATTTTTGCATATAAGCAAATGCATATGTAATCAAATATAAACTTGGTCTTCAATATCCATGGGTTCTGTATCTGCAGGCTCAACCAGAAATATTCCAGAAAAAGAACTGCAGCTGCACTGCATACAGACTTATTTTCTTGTGCATATTCCAAAAACCATATAATATAACAACTACTTTCATAGTGTTTACTTTGTATTAGGTATTATGAGTAATTAGAGACCAGAAGTGATTGTAAGTTCATTATCAAACTGTGCAGGAAAGTCAAGGCCCTTCCACTGACAGTTCTGTATGTTTTGCCTTCAGAAGCGACACCCATGGAATATGAGCTCTAACTCACTTCGGTGAGTTTTAATTCCTTTAGAGGAAGAGCCTGAACTGTTTGCAGAACAGTTGGAGGGCATCATCATTCTGGATGTGCAGGATTTTTCCCTTTTTGGCAACAGTTGTCTCACAAGCAGCAGTGATTTTTTGGTAAGATGTATTTCATTTGAAAGTCATAGTTACAGAGAAACATACAAAGAGGGAGAGATATTCCACCTGCTGGTTCGCTTTCTAAGCGGTTGCAGGTCTCCCACCTAGCCCATCTTGCTCTACCTTCCTAAGCCATTCTGAGCAAGAGAAGTGAAAAAGTCAGAACACAAACTGGCACCTCTATGGTATGTCAGTGTGGCATCTTCACATCCTATGTCACAACACCACAGTGGCCTCAGCAGTGATTTCTTGACTTGGTTTTGTCAGTCCTCACCAAAATCTTCCATTCTTCAGCCTCATGTTCCATTATCTTGCCTTATTATTTAATTGACTTAAATATAATTTTTGTAAAGAAGTAAGCAACTTGTACTTAGGCAACATTTTTAAGAAGATTCTGAAATTTTTAATTGAAAGGCAAATTTTACAGGGAAAGAAGGAGAGACAAAGGGGTCTTCCATCTGTTGGGTTACTTCTCAAATGGCTAAAATGGGCAAGCTGAGCCAATTTGAAGCCAAGAGCTAGATGCTTCCTCTAGGTCTCAATGAGTGCAGGGGCCCTAGGAACTGAGTCATCCTCCACTGCTTTCCCAGGCTATAAACAGGAAGCTGGATGGAAGGGGAGCAGGCAGGACACAAACTAGTGCCCAGATGGGATGCCAGCACTACAGCCATTGTGGTATAGCATGTTAAGCCTGCTTGTGATGCCCCTATACTGTATTAAAGTGACTTTCTCACATCCTGGCTATTGTACATCTTGGATGGCAGCAAGTACTCAAGTCCCTGTCACCTACATTGGAAACCCAGAAAGAGATCCAGGTTCCCAGCCTCAAGCACAGAGACCACTTGGGTAGTGAGCCAAGAGATTATGGGAGATATCATCTCTCTCTCTCTCTCACATACATACACACTCTATAGGTATTGCTCTGCCTTTCAAATTAAATATTAAAACATTTTCTTAAGCAATTTTTTTTACGATTTATTTATTTTTATTGTAAAGTCAGATATATAGAGAGGAGGAGAGACAGAGAGATTTTCTGTCCGATGATTCACTCCTCAAATGACTGCAATGGCTGATGCTGTACCGATCCGAACCCAGGAGCCAGGAACCTCCTCCAGGTCTCTCACATGAGTGCAGGGTTCCATGGCTTTGGGCCATCCTCGGCTGCTTTCCCCAGGCCACAAGCAGGGAGCTAGATGGGAAACGGGGCTGCCAGGATTAGAACCTGCGCCCATATGGGATCCCGGCGTGTTCAAGGTGGGGACTTTAGCCGCTAGGCCATCATGCTCAGCCCTTGAACA